CACCTTCCGGATCGGGATCCGGAGACTAAAGAAATGGCAGCACATTTATTAAAGCATTCATTAAGTTAGTTCTACCAATTTACTACTTTCATTATACGTGAAGGGGGGGATTCCTAGTTCAAGTAAGATGCTATTATATGATGCATGCTTCGACCTATATGTTCACTCAAGCGGAATATAGCGGCGTTAAATAACATTTTTGGCACATCGCACACTCACTTTCCGTATACTAAGCGATTTCTTCACATAACGTAAGTCGATTGTACTGCAGAACCGATTAGATAAAACCAATTACCGCTATCCTAGATACACCATATAGCTAGGGCTTATACTTATATAACTTAACTTAATCGCATCCTACTTTTCGCAAAACTTTTGTTGGTCAAACTTTTAGTTTTGAAAAAAAGTGAGGAACTCATGACCATTATTGGCTCTGGTACCAACTGTGGCAGAACCGCCCGAAATAGCACACTTACGGAGGCGCTCGTCTTCCACCAGACACTAAGCACCCCGAAAGCAACTACAACGAGCGGTATCCGTCGGGCACACCCCGAGGGAGAACCCGAAAGATCCACATTTATCCCAAGGATCCAATAATGAAAACGAGTTACAACACAAGTCCATCTCATACATTAGAGTTTCTTAAAAGTACATTATTACAATACCAAATACAGAGTGCGGAATGATAAACAGCGGAATATTAAAAGATAATATCTAGCGATAAGATAACGAGGATTCCGTCTGAGCCCACCAGATGGATCCTCCACACAAGGAACTCCTCAAGCATCACCTGCAACAGGGGTAAATAAACCCTGAGTACACAATGTACTCGCAAGACTTATCCGATCAGTGGGAATACTTTCCCGACTCCAAGGAATATGCTAGGCTTTATGGTTGCTGGTTCTCTTTAGCCAAAAGCAGAACTAATAGTGGGTCCTTATTGATACATTATTATCATCAGTCGTATTAAGTTTTTATCTAGTCAATCTATATAAGCACCTGTGCTACTTTCAAGCAAGAGTTGAGCAATCGTTACTGTTCCTTCTCCTTTTCCACTTCCAGTTCTTACTACGGTGCTAAACCGTAGACAAGCAGTACCGGATAACCCGGCGATTCGCAAATCAATGTACCCAATGGGTGCCACGAAGAAGACGCCCGCTTGTACCCCGAGCACAAGCAGACTAACCCACCACTCTCTGTCCCCGGTGTCCGTGTCCCCGTCAAACTTGGACTCCAAGCCCCGCCTCTGAATCCGGACTCGGTCACGATGCAAGGACCTCCACCACCTCCTCTTCCCATCGGTCGGTCCGAAAAGAGCCGGATCCACGACAAGAGAGCAGCAAGTCTTCCCTGCGCCCATACCCAAGTATGTGCTCGGGACAATAGTCTGTGACTTGCCTAGAGTCATATGCAACGACCGGTCCTTAATCGACACAGAGCAGGGGAAAAAGTGTAATCGAGCTATGCCCCTGCTGGCCGCAGGACACAACCCTCACACCCACCGGTACCAAATCCACATCCCCGTCCGGTCACCATTTTTCCTTTCCATTATTTCATCATGATATCATAGTGTAATCACCTATTTGCGAGTAACGGCGGGTTACTCACGCTACCAACATCCTGAAAGCGTAGCGACTACTCGACCGCACTAGTAGGACTCATGGTGGATATATCTATGCATATAGTTTCCATAAAATGCCCGTAACGTAAATGCATATCATATAAATATATTCATGATCATTTAAAAATAGGGTTTATGCACCGGGCTTGCCTTGAGCAGTCTTAGGTCAAGAAAGTCAGACCAACAGCTCCTGGGCTTCCTCACAATGCGAAGATCTCCTCCTCGTACTCCTCGATCATCTCGTCGTACTCGGCTCGACGAGCCGGACACGAAAGTCTACCACTCGTGATCTACATGCATGAAATGATGATGCAATGCTTAGGAATATAACAACAAAGAGCTCTTAAAATAAAAGTACATTGATTTAGCTACTAAGCTATGGATATCGACCACGGTACTAGGCTACCTATTGTCACCGATAACCATTTCAAGTATCATTATTGTTATAGCAACTACATGACTATTCTTACCCCTAATGCTAGTTTACGCTATATACGATAAAAGCAAAGGCAATAGCTACTCTATCTAACAACTCGTTCTAAGGCTATAAAATTTACAAAGTAGTACACGATATCCTAGTGAACCCATCATAAAATTTTCAAAGATAAAACTATTACCGATTTGCCACAATAATTCCTACAATTATTAATCTATATAATGCTAAGCTTGCTAATTAAAATTTATGAACCTATCATCATAATAGCTAACTGCAATCTAACTGTACTAATAAGTAGATGGTATTTTTGCGAACCTAACGAACCCGGTTTCACTATTTTGGACATCTACACCATTTATTACGATTTATCGAAGTTGGATTCATAATTAAAATAACTAAGCATTTCTATTCTCGGAAAATAAAGAAACCGAAACATGTTTCATGCCCACTACCGACTCGCCTACAGCCATGGCAAGCGCTGACCAATAAGAAGTTCCCAATGGCATGAGTGGCGTGCGATGACCCTGTCTTAGCGGTGACCCCCAAAGCGGTATGGGCGCGCAGCCCAATGGCAAGACCGGGCGAAAGACGAAACAAACGACGTGACCCAACCCAAAGGGCGCAGACCAAAGAATGAACACAGCAGCAACCCTAGCTTCAGCCTAGCGGCAAGGCGGCGAAGGGCTCAAAGAATAAGACGCTGCCCAGAGAATGGGCGGACGCAAGCCAGCGGCCTTGTGGCGGCAGCGAAAGCGGCGATGTGGCGGCAAAGCGTCGGCGGCCAATGCCCAATGGCAAATGAAGCGCGATGAGCACGCCAAATATGAGAGCGATCGCCCAGCGCAGATGCGAACGCATTTGGACGACTGCGCGCGATTTTAACTTGCAGATTCAACGATTTATTTTCCTACACGCAAACCCACAAAACACGGGTGACATGGGGGTGACGTCATGGTGACGTCAACAAGCTAATAACAAGCGCAAGCGCCTTGCTTGCTTTCGCTTCTTGCCGGGCGAGGTTCCGCCGGCCCGTGGAGAAGACGCAAAAGCGGTGGTGGAGCTTTGAATGAGGTGGGCGGTCACGATACACACCGAAGGAGAAGCTAGCAAAGTCACGATGAATTAAACTGGTATGCTTTGGTTCGGTGGATGGACGACGCAGTGCGAGTTCACCTCGTTCTTATGGAGCGGCGGAGTCAGTGCTTCCAAAATTGAAGCACGAGTGAGGTGCTACAATGGGCAAGGTGGTGTCAATCAATCAAAGTTGCTTGGTCTGTCTCGCGAAGCCAAGGATGCGATTTAAATTTCATTAACGCTCTACGGTCACGTCGAATTTAAAGCAAGAAGTACCGCTGGCCATGGCTTCATCGAAGACATGGGCTCGTGTGGCATGGCTCGCACACGGTCGTCGTAAATCAGCATAGCGTGCCGTGCACAAAACGACGGAGACAATGAGGCGATCGTTCGCGTCGCGTGCCAGAGGCGAGTAAATGAGAGCGATCTGCGGTGGCGGCGGCGGCGGCGATAAGCGCAGCGGACGGCGACGGAGGCAGACATGACATGACCGTGCGCGCAGTGTGCTTGCGTGCGGTGGCAAGCAACCAAAGGCACAAATGGTGACCATGGTCGATGATGGCTTGTCCGGCGCGGATGACGTGCGGGTTTTCTACAAATTACCAAAAGTGGCTTCGTCGATCCATTTATAACTTACGAAAATGACTTAAACTTTGAACGGTTTCAAGCGTCAATTCCAATTCCGACTTACTTGTTCCATTGTCGCCATCGAGAGTCGCATTACTACAAATTTTTAATAAAGTTCACGTACACGATCTACATCATTTTTATTTAATAAAAATCCATTTAGAATACTAAACAATATAAAGCGACATGAAACTTAACATTTATTTCCCGTTTCGGATGAACGTTTCAAATGCCGTATATCGACTTATACTCCAAATCACACACATGTACAAACAAGCATGAGGCTAATGCAGTGTTTTAGCAAAAACATTACAATATAACACCGAGGGTGTTCTGATTAGCACTAGTGTTTCATCAATTCACCAAAACCAAATTAGTGCTTTTCAGTAGTGGCGGGGGGAGCGCCAGCCAGCCTCTGCTCCCACGCCGTCGGATCTGGTGGAGACGAAGGCACGCCCACCCGCCGACGTCGAGTCTGGTGGAGTCGGGAACTTAGGATCGAGGAAGGAGGAGAAGGCATGGCGCTTGCCCGAGCTCGGAGAGGGGAGCGGGTAGGGGGCTGCGGTCCCTTGAAGTCGGTGTGCTGACGGGTGGGCGGCTGCACAAGGGAGGACATGGAGGAGGAGGCCAGTGGTGCGCGGCCACAAGCGGGAGGTGAGACTGTGAGAGCAAGCAACTCGGGCGGAGTTGTGGCCGCGAGCGCGGAACTGAGAGCGAGAGGGAGTGCGGCGGGGGGGTGGGAGGGGGAAATGAGTAGGACTTAGGGTTAGGGATAGAGTGGGCTCTTAGCAGGCCGTGGAAAATTGGAGATCACCCGTGATCACCGGGCCTATCTTTAAATGTCGTCTTGGCCGCGGCCGTCCGGTGTGTGCTTGAGTGGCGGCCTGTGCGGCCTATACACATCGGACCGTCTTGCAGGCCCACAGCGCACCGTGTCGTGTCGTGCTTGGGCCGGGCCAAAAACCGTACTTCAGGCCGGGCCACCGGGCTGCAGGCTACATGGAAAAAAAAAGTCCGTAGCGGGCAGGTCGAAAAAAAAAAGTCCGTATCGGGAGGTCCAACCTGAGCCCGACTCGAGTCCAAACCCGGCCCAACCAAATAAAGGCCAAGGAGAAGCATCAACCCAACGCCCAAGCGAAGTTTTTCGTCCCTCCCACCGCCGCGACCGAGAGCTCCCCATCGCCGCGACCGAGAGCTCCAGCCTCCAGAGGACGCCGCCGCTACAGCCTGCCTCCTCCGCCCATGGATCCGAAGATGACAGAGGTGACCCAGATGTTCGCCCGCTTCAAGGCGGCCTACGCCCGCCACGACCTCGACGCCTGCGTCACATTCCTCTCGCAGCTCAAGGTGCGGTAGCCGGCCTCGCTGGATCTGTCTCGCCCGCCGTTCACTTCCCGATGTTTCAGTTTCTCCGGGGGATTTCGCGGCTATTGTTTATGGGGTTTGGGGGTGGGGTTTCAGGCTGAAGGCATGACAGATGCAATTTTTACCTGTGGCTAGATGGTTACGAGGGATACCTCTTATTTCGGAAAAACAATTGCGGCTTAGCCTGATCCGGAGACGCCGGCGCGGTAGGTTTCGCCGTGTTTGGGCCGCTTTTGATTTAGTTTCTAGGGTTTGTTTCATGGATGTTATCTGAGCCGTAGTAGTTTGCACCCCGAAGCGGTTTTACAGGGAGAAAGGACAGAGTTTAGCAGGTTTTCGTAAAATTGTCCTGCCCCCTGGTGCCTCCTTTAATTAGATCCTAGCGTGTACAGATCTGCCCTGTAGCAACTTCAGGTTTAGTTATATTTGTAGCAGAAAACTCGATTTTTGCTGGTCAATTGAGTTGCCAATTTGGTTTTTGTGGGAGAAACTTGCGAGAATTCAATGAATTACATTTGGGTTTTCCTGTTATTTACATGTGAAACACCTTATTTTTGCAGGTCCATCTCACCAAATTCCCCAGCCTTCCGCCCTCGTTTCAGCAGACACCGAACGCTGTGGAGGAGCTCAAACTTGCAAGTAAGATGGCCTTGGGATTCATGTTTTTGTATTAGGCGATGCCATAGCTATCCCCTAAGTGCTCTAGTATATGCAAGATTGCATTCTTGATTATTCACATTGCTAATTCATGGATAGTGTTGAGCACCATAATGGATATCACATTTGTTGCATAAGTTTTGATGCATATGTGTGCATGCAAGATGAGCTGTTCTTAAGTTATGTTTTCTTCCTTTTTACTAATAAGCTATTTAGTAATTTAGTAGTAGAAAAGATCCAGAGGCCCATAAACTGTTATGCAGTTTTTCTAGTTATCCTTCAACAGAGCAAGTTTTAAACTAACACAAATATTTCAGGGGACATTTATGAGCATGCTGTGGTTTTGAGTGTGAAACTTGAGGACCAAGATGCATTTGAACGTGATTTCTGCCAGCTCAAGCCTTATTACATGGATACATGGTTAGTTTCTTGTCACCCAATTTATCGATTTTATTTGCCTTTATTTCCTTGGTTTCTAATTTCTTTAGACTGAATTGATGTGATGCTTTGAGTAATAAAAGTTTAAAGCTCGTTGTGAAAGGCATATTTTTCTTATACACAAGCAATATTAAAATTTGATGTGCCTGCGTTTGTAAATTGAGATACGAAACTAGTGGAACCAAAGGACTTATTTGAGTTGTTTAACTAGTCTAAGTCTAAGTGACGAGTAAACCTGACACTATCGGTTGAATCCATCAAATTATCAAGTAGTTTTAACAAGTATTAACTAGAAAACAAAGCGCGGCTTTGCCGTGCCTCTGTAGAGTGCCGGCTATTGTGAAGCTGCATTTTTTGTGAGGTTCAAAAAGGAACTAAACGTTAGTAAAGATTAAAATATTTAAGGAGGATATTTTGAGCAAGGAAATGTAAAAAATTATGAGAAATTGCATTTTGACCTTTATTTTCTTTCATTCGAATGGATATATGTCCATCTCATGATGGCTATGTGAACATTAGTTAGTATTATTTATGTCATGATGGTTCTTGATACCAAATATAAAACTATGTTCACAGATACAACAACAACTACAACATAGCCTTTCAGTCCCAAGCAAGTTGGGATAGGATAGAGTTGAAACCCACCAAGAGTCCCAAGTCACGGTTCAGGCACTTCAATAGCTGCTTTCTAAGTACTCCTATTCAAACATAGATCTCTAGGTATATCCCAAGCTTTCAAATATCTTTTTATTGCCTCCCCCCATGTCAATTTCGGTCTTCCTCTACCTCTCCTCATATTATTAGCTTGGCTTAGGACTCCACAATGCACTGGTGCCTCTGGAGGTCTCCTTTGGACATGGCCAAACCACCTCAACCGATGTTGGACAAACTTTTCTTCAATTGGTGCTACCTCGAGGCGATCACGTATATCATCGTTCCAAACTCGGTCCATTCTTGTGTGACCGCAAATCCATCGCAACATACGCATTTCTGCAACATTCAGTTGTTGAACGTGTCGAATCTTTGTAGGCCAACATTCTGCTCCATACAACATAGCCGGTCTAATCGTTGTTCTATAGAACTTGCCTTTTAGCTTTTGTGGTACCCTCTTGTCACAGAGAATGCTAGAAGCTTGTCGCCACTTGATCCACCCTGCTTTGATTCTATGGCTAACGTCCGTATCAATATCTCCATCCCTCTGTAGCATCGATTCTAGATACCGAAAGGTATCCTTCTTAGGCACTACTTGACCCCTTCCAAACTCACATCTCCCTCCTCCTGTACAACTCCGCCAAATTCGCATCTCATGTATTAGGTTTTAGTTCTGCTCAATCTAAAACCTTTAGACTCAAAGGTTTGCCGCCATAACTCTAGTTTCCTATTTACTCCCGCCTGGCTTTTATCCACTAACACTACATCAGAATAATTGTCTCAGTCCTTGTCACAGATAGCCGTGTTAACTAAAGCTTCTGGCAGCCACGCACGTCCATGTTCATTTCCCTTAGCCATAGCTCCTTCTGCCCCCTACATGCAAAGCGCAAGTATCTTTGTGATGCGCAGAATGTAATAAATACAGAATAGGAAGAATCAAAAGAAGAGGGGGGAAAGGCGTTCCCATCTCTTAGTGGTATGATAGTAGAAGAGAATCAAGGCATCGATATCAAACAAATTATCTATTAGTTATGCCACAAACTTCGTAACTAAGTACACGGTTGTCAATACTTGAGGCCAACATTGCTGACTTAGACTCTGTCTAATATAGAATTCCTCAGATCAGAATGCAAGCCTAGTCATAGAACTTGGGACAAAGCTATAAATTATGTGTAATAAGAATTTTTTATCAATTTCAACCTGAAACGTCTGTTAAGATTGACTAAGTGGAAGTATGTTTATCAATCCATACTGTGTCAGAGTTAGTAGGTATGCAAATAAAGGCACCTAGCAATTGGTTATGACTTATGAAATGATGTCATCTTTGTCCTGTCTGGAGAGAACTTTACATTTGGGAGAAACAGTTACCTGCACATCATGTATGTTTAGACTCAACCGGGTCCATGCCTTATACATAAGCATTCAGCTCTGAGTTATGACATGTGAGACTAACTATTTGAATGATATTTTGACAATGTAACTAGTGGAACTGAAGGACTTAGTTGTTTAACTATAACTAGTCTAAGTGACAAGTAAACCTGACGTTTGGGTCAGATCCATCAGATTATCATGTAGTTTTAAGTATTAATTCAGTCAGCGTTTATTAGTTTTCATTGCACTGAAGTTGCTAAAATGAGTTCAAATTGGTAATTGTAGGACCCAAAATATATTCATAAGTAACTATAAATACAATCGAACATTACCTCTTGGGTATTTTTTTTTTTCAAGAGCATGCCAGAATAGTATTATGCTAAACAATGTAAGTTTGATACAAAATGATATTTATTTATTTATGCAGTGGCATAATCCCCCCCCTCACCAGAGGAGTACCCAATTTTGGGACTCAATCTTCTGAGGCTGTTGGTTCAGAATAGAATTGCCGAGTTCCACACTGAGCTGGAACTTCTACCTGTCAAGGCACTTGAGCATCCTTGCATCAAGCATGCGGTGGAGAGCTTGAGCAATCCTTCATGGAGGAGCCTACAACAGAGTGTTAAGCGCTCGGCAGGCTGTGCCACATGAGACCTACGTTTACTTCATGGACCTTCTCGCAAAAACAGTTAGGTGAGTGGGCTTCTGTTACTCCTGGTTATTTGATTGTTTGATTTTATCTTAATGGAGATCCTATTGTGTTTTCTGCTCTCACAGAGATGAGATCGCTGGGTGCAGCGAAAAGGGGTATGATTCCCTATCTGTAAGTGATGCAAAGCAAATGCTTATGTTCACTTCTGACCAAGATCTGCACGAGTACATCACAGAGGTAGTTTTAGTCTTTAAATGTCCCCCCTCCTTTTTCTGAGTGTATTTCTTTGTGAATTCATATGATCACTGTAAAGTCTAATCTTGTGAACATCATTAACAGGAGCACCCGGAATGGGAGATTAAGAACGGTGCCGTTTTCTTCCAGAAGGCGAAGGAGTCGCAGCCCTGCAAGGAGATCCCATCCTTGCAGCTTATCAACCAGACGCTCAGCTACGCGAGGGAGCTGGAGCGTATTGTATGATTTAATTTCACAGTAATCCCTGGTGGATTTTTATTTCTGTGGTCACATGATATGGCCTGTACTGTCCTTTACGTTTGAGATCAGCTCTGATCGCCGCTCTGAACTGTCTGAAACATCATGTGAATCTCTGAAGGGCTCGATCCCCCAGCATTGGTTTGTTAGCTCCATTTGTATTTCACCACATTAACTGCATTGTTCGAAATCTGCCCGGCATTCACTGCTGCTGTGAACTTTCGATGGGCTTAAGATTGAATGACTACATCGAAATTGAACTGATTGTGTTCTTTTTAAAAAAGAAAAGGGGCACTGGTTATGTTGACTAGATTGGTCATACTCAACATACATCCCTCCAGTTTTTTTAAAAAAAAACATGCATCCCTCCTTAACTGAAGGGAAGAAGTTTTATTTTAGTTTGGTGGTGTGGTTATAAAAACAAAACACAATTTTAGCTGTTTATATGTTCTGTATAAAAAAACACGCTGCGGAGTGGCGAGCATATGGTGGACATTGGGCAGGGGAAGGAGTAAGAGGAGTGGCTGTAGATTTGGGAGTGCAGAGGCAGGAATGGGGGGCAAATCCTGTGGGGCAAGGAGGCTAGCAGCGCCCGCGTGGTTGCTTATCGCAGTGGCCTGCTCCGCGGTGATGCACTGGACCCTGTGCTAGGAGAGCAGGGACCGCAGCCGCCTCCACCGCAGGGGCGCGTCGCCGCGGGGACCGTATCTGCCCACCCTGTCATCGAGAGCTATGCAGCCGCTCGTGGGGACGTGCCGCTGCCCACCCGCTGGCATCCCCCAGTGCGCCACTCCGTAGCGTCGACGTGCCTCCATCTATCTGAGTAGCGAGTAGACGTCGCACGTAAAAACGTACGTTGGAATTGTATGTTTAAAGTGTTTTAAATGTTGTAGAGGTATGTTGGTAGATATCGCATATAAAAACGTATATTGTAAGTGTATGTTTAAAGTGTTTTAAATATTTTAGAGGTATGTTGTAAGTGTTTTACGTGGATGTTGTAAAAGTAAATCGGGATGATGCATATGTTGCAATGGTTGTACACGTAGTTGTAAACGTATATTCTAAATGTTTCATCCGTTTTTCAGACGTATGTTTATTTGGATGTTGCATATGTTTTACACATATGTTGCAAGTGTTTTATCTGGATATTGCGTATGTTTTAAAATGATTTTTAAGTGTTTTTATGTGTTTTTGCAAGTGTTTCATCTGCCTTTAGATATATGTTATAAGTGTTATATCTAGATGTTCAAAAGTTGATTGGGTGTTGCATCTTCCTCCTCGTTTTCTGCTGTCTCGGTGTCTCCTCCTTCCGGCATTGACTAGGCATCCTTTGCACCTCTCCCCTTTTCGATGTTGGTGACGTTCGGAGCGATGCAGGCCCCGCGTGGGCGCAAACAGCGTGGGAAACGACGACACGACGTGAGGGAACAGCCATGGCTACAATGCTGATGCAAGTGGATGACGTAACTGGTCTATAATAATAATTTACCGGGGCGGTTCAGGCGGACCGTGCGCGCTGTCACTTGAAGGAGTCGTCCAAGGCGCTAGTAGTTCCCTATTGAACGGGATTAAAGTCATGCAGACCTTTTTCATGTGTCACTGACAATAAATTGAAATTGGCTCTTGTCTGAAAAATATCCTTTTGAGTTATTGGGAGCGGTTGATTTTCGCTCACTGTTTTCTTCGAAAATGCTTGGTGTTCCTTGCAACCGCAGACATAAATAAGATGGTAAATCATATGCATACTTGGAAGGTTCAGCATGGTCGATTGATAATGTTATTCCCTAATAAATTCTAAAATCTAGTGCCTCTCTTTTTCGGTCCATAGCAAAGTTTTTTTTTTGCGTCATGGCACAGCTCCCGCATCCTGGAGCTTTAGACGAGCTACTCTATCAATCACAAATAAGTGACAATTTAAGGTTTTATGAAGTCAGTCATCTATTTAATAGTTTAATATTACTTTTATTATAATTATACTATAAAATATGAAAAATATAAATTTTAATAAAAATATTTCTCAAACAAATATACGTGTATCACTTCAAAATATGTGACGAAGTATATGTAGTTAGAGTCTTTAGACAACTCCACTTATTTGTAACTATTGGGAGTAATAGTTATAGGTAAAAGTTTGAGTAAAGTGTACTGACGGTCCTCGAACTTGTTCGGCTGTGTCATCCTGATCCCTAAACTCGCAAATCAACCGTTCAAGTCCTCAAACTTGTTCATCTGTGTCATCCACTTCCCTAAACTTAAATCGCCCGTTTAGGTCCTCAAACTTGTTCGGCTGTAGCCTCTAGGTCCCTAAACTTGTAAATCACTCATTTAGGTCATCAAACTTATTCAGTTGTGTCGTCCAGGTCTCTAAATACTGTAAAATTGTAAATTTATTATATATTTATAGAACTGTCCAAAAATTACAAATCTAATTTTGTTAGACTGCTGGTAACATGTACTTCAAATTAGAATAAAAGAAGTCACCACGTATTTTACTATTTTTAACTCTATGGTTCAATAACTAAATAGGCGCATATATTTTTAGGATTTATAAAAATATACGGGACTATTTATTCATTTAATTATAGAGTTAAAAATAGAAAGTACATGTTGATTTCTTTTATTCTAATTTAAAGTACAAGTTACCAGGAGTCTAACAAAATTAGATTTATAACTTTTGGACCGGAATGACATAACTGAACAAGTTTGAGAACCTAAACAAGTGATTTACATGTTTAGAGACCTAGAGCTTTAGACGAGCTACTCTATCGATCACAAATAAGTGACAATTTAAGGTTTTATGAAGCCAGTTTCTATTTAATAGTTTAATATTACTTTTATTATAATTATACTATAAAATATGAATATATATATTTTAATAAACATATTTCTCAAACAAATATACTTGTATCACTTCCAAATATGTGACGAAGTATTTGTAGTTAGAGTCACAATGGTGGACTTTAGACAACTCCACTTATTTATAACTTTAGGGAGTAATAGTTATAGGTAAAAGTTTCATGCCCCTGTTTTCAGGGTTTCACTAGTATTGGAGTAGTGGCAGTGAAGTAAATGGAGGATGCACATTTTACTACAATTCATCTAATTTTGTTAGTGTCGGCATGTCTTCACCAACTCAACTTGGAGGACATTGATTCCTTGCTCGTATACATTAGGAAGATCAAATCATATAAACATCAGTGTTATCTAAAACGCTAAACGTAGACAGTCGGTCACCTACCATTTAGCCATTTATTCTGACAAAATGGGTGTTTAAGCGGGGGAAACGGCCGTTTAAATAGTCAAAATAACCGATTAAACGGAAACAATGTACCACAGTGTAGTGTTTAAACGGTGTGTAAACGGACTAAATGGTTGTTTAGGCAAGGAGTGATAAATATGCAGCTTCATAATTTGAATTATTTTAAAAAATTTGACATTAAATAATATTTAATAATTATTTAATTTGCTTTTTCTTGAAAAAAATCAAGTTGGACCATAATTAAAAGAGTTTGACCTCTATATGTCCATCATCACCTGTGATATATGTTATCTTTAGTTAGAATAATCTTAAGCATACTTCTGCCCAGGTGATCTAGGTATGTGACCTAGATTTGGAAACATCAACTTCTTTTCCCTATTTCCTCTTTTTGTTTTTTTCTTCTCCCTTTTCTCTTTTTTTTCTTTTCTGGACTATCAGGCCCATTTCATGCCCTTTCCCTTATTATTTTGCATGTCATTTTTGTTTTCCGGATTGTCTCATGATTTTTCGTATAAACATAAAAATAAATAATAAACACAATATTGATGTAATTTGATTAAGAATAAAAATTATTCTTTTTATAACCTAGATCAGCTAATGGTCTAATTAATTAAATCATGAATAGAAATCTTGGGCAGTTTATTGTCCAATCTAACCGGAAAGCGACAACGGGGTTGCGCCGCCAGCAGATGTGGCGCCGTGGGAGGCGGTGTCGGCCGGGCGGCGAGACGGCCATGACGACCTGTTGGGGGTGGGGAGGTGAGTGGAGAAGGAGAAGGGGGTGGGGAGGAGGTGGCAGACGCCGGCGAGGTTGCTGCCGCCGCCGGCAGCGACGGCGAAGCGGACATAACCGCTAGGGCTCCGCCCTAGCGAGCGAGACGGGTGCCTGCAGGGATTCCTATTTTCCGCTCTTTCATAGATAATTAAATATGTTTATATATTTGATTAAAAATAATATATGTTTATATATTTCTACTTATTTTGCCCGATATAAGGAATTTGCTAATTTGGCTAGCATTATTCCAAATTGCACTTTTATAGATGGTTAATGTTCTAATGTAATTATTGCTTCATTGCCGATGGATTAAATGCAAAATATACATATCTTTTGTAACTAAGTAGAGATATAAGTTTTGATTTTCTCCCATTGCAACGCACGGGCATGTTTGCTAGTACACTACTTAATAGAGATTACTTATGGCTTGTTTGTGGAAACAACATATAGTAGTTGCAAACATCACAATTAGGAACAGTAGGTTTGAAGCTTCATTTAAGTGTGACCACAACTCCATGTCTGTGAACTTACAATACTTGTTTGGTTTCCAAAGTCCTTGTGCCATATATATTTGGGTTTGTCATATGATTACTTGGTTCAAGAAGCCATCTTAATTCTCGTTGAGCAGCCAAGTTTAGTTGAGAGCTAGGCCTTTGACATAACACCATGATTGAGCTGGTCTATGGTCTCATCAAGATCATAAGCTCTTAGTCAGATCTCTTAGTTAAGTTCACCGGGCCACATTTTGTTCTACTAAAAATTTGTTTTTGTTTCCATGTATTTGTGAGTTCTTTCCTACACTAATATTGCTATAACTCAGTATTAACTAAATCAATGCTGCATCTTTAGTGCTAATGGCCTTACGTAACACCTGAGGTGTTACAATTTAATGCTATGTTTTGCGCTAGTGAAGCTGGCGGGTGGCGACTCCAAAGACTCCTGTGGTCGGTGGGC